CCACAATTACTTTTCTGCTTAGACTGTATTATAATCCAACCCAAATTCCTTCTAATAGAAAGCAACTGCTTCCCCCTCCAAACGATCTTTCCAAACCCCACCATGTATCTGTAGTCTCTTTACGAACCAGAAGTCCAGGCGTATCATACTTAAAACTTGTCAGGTCTATAACTGTCAGACATTCCGGTGTTCATCAGAGGGGGTTTGTTAGGCGGACAGTGGTAAAAATGGAATTGTATAGGCTTTGATTATATTTAATGGGCCCCTTCCATCCGAAAATGGCTCCAAAGCAATTTCGACACAGCTGCTCTTTGGAAATCCACCTAGGTTCATTACATTAAAGCGTGAATCATTTCCATTGAAGTCCAACTTTTCAGCTTCCCTGTATAAGACAGAAGAGGTGTCTGATCCACTGTCTGGAAGAGCCCACCTGCGGATCAGACAAACTCACCGGAACTTTGCCAAAAATGGCCCCTAAAAATGTTGTGGTTATGCGCGTGAGGTGTTTTTTACCTCACTCTATTATATTACTTTCCAGGTGTAGTAATCTGTTGAATAATGCTATATGAGCACTACTAAGTCTTATCGCAAACTCACAGAGGTCAACCAAAACATTCTAACCGGTTGAGGATCTCCTATGAATTCATTAACCTGTGAACTAGCAGTCATAATAATAATTTATTTCTGGAAAAGAAACAAGCCATTTTTACAGGCATGAACATATGTAAGCTGGTTAGAAGTGGTAGAATACATAATATGATTTGTTAATTTAAATTTAGATTGAACACTGGTTTATGTGAGAGAAACATTGGAAGAAAAGTACAAATGACCAAACAGACGATTTTCGCAATCTGCTTTTGGCCGAATAAGCCATAAGATATAGTGTTAAATCTAAATGACTAAATGCCCCCTGCATGTCAACTTTACGCTGGAATTATTAATTATTGTTGTAGTAGTAGTAGGTAAGTAGCATTTTGGTGCAGATCTGAAGTGAAACATAAGAGATGCAGAATGGACAACAATTATCAGTGAATGATTCATAAAGTGTTCAAAAGTCTATAAAAATCCAAATTCACCGGTAAGTACACTATAATTGTGACGTTTGCAGTTGTATATGAGACCAACTTTGAACTTGTTGACAGATTTCATGACGAAGGTGATTCTGTTATTCACCAGGTGTGCTAGCAATATTCTGGATACCTGCAAAGTGTAGGTTCCAACGATCCCGACGCTCCATTTGAATAACACCAACGTAGAGGGTAGCACCGCTGAATCAATACCTTCGTTGAAGTCATTACCTTTGAAAAGAGAAGAAGATACAAGAAAACCGCAAGAGAGGTGCAGAAGTATATAATAAGTGTTAATAATACAGAATATGCAACAAACACCGGGTTCATTTTTTCACTGTTTTTTAATATTATTTCACCGATGGGTTTTAGTAAAGCAATTCTACAGTCCTTCTTGCCAACGATTAGCTTAAGTGAAAAAGGTGATAATTGTACCTACTTATATGTGTATAGTTTGATGGTAAGTATGTTTTCTGAAATAGGAGTTAAACACGAAAGTTGAAGTTCATGAAATACGTAGGGGGAAAACGATAGCTTAAAAGTATCTAATATTTTTCTAATATGGACGGTTGGGTGTCTTTCTGAAGTAGCGAACTCCTACCATGTACTTGCATTCAGGGAGTTTATATTTAAACTCCACCTTTTATGCATTTTTCACCTTCTTTTTCTGTTTCAGTTATTTATTTATTTTGTGGAAGTTATTCAAACTGAGGAAACCTAGCAATAGAGCGCCGTCCCACAGATAAGGGTGGTTTTCGAATGTCCCCACCATCATATCCTCTGAATAACAAGCACGACCCCTACCAAACAGATCATGCAGTACTTGCACGGCTATTTCATAATCAAGGTTTGCAGGTAGAGCCACACAGGCTTCAATACACTTTCTCACTTTTCCCCTGTAAAAATGCAGCAGATAGTTAAACATTCGCCATTTATCACAGCGTGCTGTAAGTAATATTTTGAAATTGACTGATGAACATTCTGTGTTGGCTAGAGTTACCATCAAATTTCACTTCATCAAACCTAGGCATGCACATATTAGTAACAGTGGAGCTAAGCGATTCCTCTCAGCGTGAGAAGAACTAACTGCCAGATGAAACTCATGAAACCACAATCTTTAAGACGACGAAGTTCAAGGCACAATCAAACAATACTGCTTTTCCCAACGATATAAAAACACTTCAGCAATACGGCTGGAGCTAGAAAGTTCTTCTTGCTTGGAAAAAGTACTATAATTGAAGGCCCTGCTGGTATTGCACGGCCAGAAGTAAAAATGTGCTCCAGAATTCAGTAACTGACTGTTCTGCACAATCCTATTGACAACCATGCTAGGGAGTGTTCATGGGCATGTCTAGGAAAAATCCGGTTACCGAAGACTGTGTACGTAGCTTCAAAGGAGCAGATGAATGGGTAAATGCACAATGAGGTTGCCAGCGGCGCGATCTTTTATTTGACGTTGTTCGTATTATAAGAAGTGAAGATATGTAGATTTGTAATCAGAAGTTATTCTTCCAGGTAGTAAAATTCTGTGGGTGATTTTGGAAGCATTCTTCACTCAGGAAAGGTGGATTTCTCTCATCGTTTCGGAGGGGAACTTTTATCTAGGAGACGATCATGAAGTACCTGCCTCTAGTTGTTCTAAAGATGGCACTGCCACACTCTGCCCTGTTTCCGGTGAACAGTATTCTTGAAATCTTGCTTTAAAATGTCAGAGAACGACGTCCGATTTATGAATATATTGGTCGACCAAATCAGAAAGAGGAAACCAGAAACGTAATTATACAAAATCACACCACCCAGATTAACTATATAATTACAACATCAAACTGAGCAAGTATCATAAAGCATATAGTTCATATATTGCCGGAATGTTTGGGTCGCATCCTTAGTTTTAGTAGCTTATAAATGGAAGGGGATTCAGAATTTATGTACATGAGGAACACAGTTTTTGTTGCCAACTATCTCTTGGTTCATATCGACGTACCTTGAAAACGGACGCATATCACCATGCGGTTTAGACAGTCGCGTATAATAGGGATGACCACGGATTATCATGGCAGGCTGGGGCCAATAAGATCCCTGTTTCGCCAATTGTCATCAATTCGAGGAGGTTTAGAGGAGAAAGGTTCGCTTTTTGTGGTAACTGATGTCAAAATGTCTACAAGAGACGTTGGGATCAATAGCTTCGCGTCTATTCAGTAGGTTCCTATGACAAAAAGTGTCAAAATTAAATGTCCTGGCTAATGCATATATCACAATCACATTTCTCGGAAGACTGTAGACCCATCGACTTATACGCCACTGCAAAGATTATGTTGGCGAATGTTATGCAACTGCCTGTTCTGGTAGACTTCAGATTTTGCCAAACGGCTGCCTGAAAATAATGCCTAGTCCAGTTGTATCCGACGCGAACCAACTCACAGAGACAGAACATTAAGTGTATGCTTGTGGTGGGATATATTTAGTTAAAGAGCACAGTTAGAAGCTGCAGGAATAAGAACCATAATACAATACATTTCCCCATCTTTTTTCTTCACAAACGAATTTGATACAACACATCAATGAACTACCACGGTTGAGATATACATACTTATGGCTGAAGATGATGATCTCTTGAGTCCACAAAGGTCCACGAACTTCTTTAATAGCTTATACTCCTCCTCCACTGGAATCCACTAAAGTCGATACTTTTCATGAGAGTCGCAGAACCCAACGGCAAAATATTATATATTACTGGCATGTTTCTCCCATTTAACGCGAACTGAACTTTTTGTTAGCTGATAAGTCGCAATGAAAACACAATTTTGATTAGGTCTTACTCTTTTCACCGTGTACATACAGGCGATAAAAACCAGAGTAAGGAATGGTAACTTAATGATGAGAGTGTTTTGTTCTTATTTTCACTGTATGCATTCTGAGCCGAACATTGGGCTTCAGTCTTGATGTTTGGGTTCCTGGCTTGAAGACTAGGCTCCCATCTGTTCTGGAGTTTCTACCGGCTGGTAAACCTGATAATGTTTTGGAGTTCGTCGTTGTAGTCCAGACCTCAAGCGCTGGTGGAGAAGACTAGACGATTGAACCACAGGTACACAAAAATCCGGTAACACCCAGTTTTTCGAGTGACTTTATTGCATATCTCTGAAGACTCTTTGTTACTGTGTAACTATCTCGAAATAAAATAAGTCCACACTTTACTCTTTTTTCTCCCAAATAAATGAAATGGTAATTCTCAAAGGTGTAAACCAAGTACGCGGGGTGTATTTCCGCCCCCAGTGATTTGAAACTTTAGGAGGTGAAGGATACTAATGACTATGTAAGATTAACTCTATACAAGTGCAGTGTTTTATCCTGCAACTCCCAAAGTACTTGTTCACCTGGGACTAAAGACACATCGAAACTACAATCTGATTGTCCAAAATAGGAGGTATATTTCGTGCTCAGAAACTTACGGCGACTGTTGCTCAGTTAGCTAAAATTTGTGAAAGAGCTGTTGAATAAAGCACAACAGAATGCTAGATAATATGGGTGCTTGACCATATACTTTCAGCCTAACAAGCCAACAGTGGTCGTGGTAAGTACGTATCTTTGAATGAAGAGTGCTGTAAACTAATGCATTTCTGGAAATTATTTACTGCTTCTAAACTATTTCAAGTGCTATATTAAGTGAAAAACTATTCGATAAATCACCGCTATAGAGGTGTGGAGAATAGGAAGCCAATAAGTTTCCATGGAATCCACAAAAATGTATTGGGCATTGAACGCATTTATAAAGTCGAACATCTCTTCACTAGATAGCTTTAGAAGTTAATAAATCATACCAAGGATAAGGATTTGGAAGTTTTATCCCCACACATACATTTCTGAAGAGTAAAAACCTATTTTGAAAACTCACACCGGTAACCAATGCCTTGTTTAGAACGTTGGTGATATAAACTTACTCTTTTGAAATGGGTTGAACCTGCTGATTATGACAGACCCAGATAACAGTCTGACGGCCATAGATTGGCTTCCCAATCTTAGCATAAGCATGTTGACAGCATCTATTGAAAGCGAATTTCCTTTCGAAATGGATTGTTGGGACTCTATGAGTGGAGATGATAATAAAACTGAGTCTGACTGTGGGTCTACGCCCTACCAACCAGATAGCAAACCGCCTTATAGCTACGCAAGCTTGATTACTTGTGCTATACAAAGTACATCGGAAAAGAAAATGACACTGAGTGAAATATATCAATGGATTTGTGATAACTTCCCTTACTATTGCGAAGCTGGGAGTGGTTGGAAGGTATGATTTCACTTCATAAGTGTATTGTTTCTTTCAGAACTCGATTCGTCATAACTTGTCACTTAACAAGTCTTTCATGAAAATTCCCCGATCTCGAGATGAGCCAGGAAAAGGTTCTTACTGGTGTCTGTCTAATCAGGGTGATGATCCAGAATGCATGCCTTCAGCACCTAAACGACAAGTATGTAGTTCAAGTTTTTTTTATATCATTTTTAATGATTTGACCAAATAAAAACTCAGGTTTTGCTTTTCCCTCGTAACAATGCAGCAGTCACTAATAGATGAAGAATCAGAAATACATAATTCTACTTCTCACTCAATGTGAAATATAGTTCTATCGTAATTAAATTTAATATGTAAATGCCAAAATTATCCCCAAGCCGTTTATTTTGGTATCGCCTTAAATTTTTGCAAATAACTATTTGGGCGTTAAATGGGGTCTGACATATGGTGCTATTTGGTGGTATTAGTCGGCCTGTAACATGCATAGCAGGAGTTTAGTAACAAAAGAATAATTTTTGGCTAGATTCTATCTGAAGACACTAATTGGACTTCAGACTGAAGATGTTGGAAAGTTTTCTTAAGATTCGAATTTTATTCTTGGAATTCTTATCCTATAAATTTTCTTTGTAGTTTTAGCGGAAATTTATCAAGACCTGGCTGTGTGTAAATAACTGCTCACTGTGATTAAACTAATAGTCACTCTTCGTTTTAACTTTATTTGAAAAATGATTTCATAAAACGCTTCTGAACTCATTTTTTCCACAAGTTTGTAAAGGCAATGTAAAATTATTAATGCGTGATTAACGAGGAAATTTAACATCCAACTAGTGGATCAAATGCTACTCATGCAGTTTAGAAAATAATATTCACTAGAACCAATAATACTTAGGCATGACATTCGGTCTAGTTCATAAAAATCCTGATCACCTGCATACCAAATTTGTCCCATTGTATGATGCCCCTACAGCCATATAGCTACAGTACTTCTCACATTAAAAATCCTCATTGCTTAATGCACAAACATAATTGTTTACTAAAAGTTCATATCAAGATTTAACTACTGACAATAGCAAAGTTGCTTTTGTCATCAGAAAGTATTTATTAAGAACCACTAAATTTTTGTGAAACTCATATGTATATACATGATATAAAATATATCAGTATTTTTAAAAAGTAATACATTTTCCTGTATAATACGTTTTTTTAAAATTATTCTGCAGCGTTGTGAAAGACTGCATTTCAGATAGAGACAAGAAATTCCTTTCAGAGTATGCAATAAATATCTCTTTATGTTCTGTTATAGTTCACTACGTAGCCATTTCATCAGTAAGTATTAACAAACAATGTTAAAATCAAATTTGTGTCGAGAAAGCAACATCAAACCAAATTCCTTAATTTCGTCAGTCATCACCATAAAATCCCCAGTCGTTTGAGTCCAATAGAAGTGTTATGACAGAAACTCGAATGTCTTATAGTGGGTACTTAGGTGTGGTGAAGACCGTTGTTATCTTTAAACTCCGGCTTTAGTGGTTTGACAATGCGCTGTTCAAATCACTGTCAGCATTTTTACCGTTTACTGTTTAACAATCCTAAGACTTTTTCAAAAAGCTGAAACGTGCCTATAATATGATATGTTGATGTGCAGTGAGGGAAAATTTTGTTTAGTGTCTTTTCGTGTATCAAGTGTACTTCAGTAGAGTTCAAGTCAGTGGTTCTAAATGCTATAATATGTAAGTTAAAATCAAGTTTAGTGGATGTCACGCCTAGAATCTCTCCCTTATTTTAATGTTAAAAAGCAATACCTAAGTAACAACTACTTCTGCAAATGCATTATGATAATATTTATATAACCAATGTAATGTTTTTTAATTTTACGTCTATTTGTCGTTAATATCACTATTATATTGTTTTGTATGGCACTTTTTTTGGTACACACCATTTGCTTAGTTTGTGTTAGTGAACATTAAAGAGAATCTTCGCTACTGAAAATACTCCGCTGATTTATATAATCACTAATAGTTTTTAAAGGCTGTTTACCACATCTGCAGATTCTATACAAGTATAAAATCAAACAACTTTTGTTTCAGCTGCTCATCGTCACACTCCATATTACCATGAAGGTTATCGTCTCAGTATCGATTGTTTATTTTTGAGACAATAATAATTCCCTTTATACTTAAAATATGGGAAACGTAGTTTGGCCATAAGGCATATATATTGTATGAAGGCTAATGATACTAGCCAGATGTTCAGTTCTCGACAAATGGAATAATATTCATAACTGTAACTTAGTGATTAACAGTTCATGTGCTAAGTGGAAGTATAACTCAGTGTAAATGTATTGACAAGATGTATGATGCCTGGAAGTTTGATAAATTCATTGGAACACTGCACCTAATGATGTGCACATTAAAGGTAGCTGCTTTCAAGAACACTGACGCTCACATAACCTCAGAATCATCTAGTTAGACAGTGTTAAGTTTTATTCACTTGAGCATCTAAATTTCAATTCGCTTTATTCTCATAAAACACGATTTTTTACCATGTAACATCATTTCAACTCAGTATGATTGGTGAGCAATCGCCTTTGAACTTCAGAAAAGTCACGAGCTAGTTTAAAAGGTTTGTCCATTAACCCCTTGGATTTTAATGGTTCTCTAGTTGTTAACTGCCTACTTTGAGATAAATAATTCCCCAAAAACCTAACGCAAAAGTAACGATTACGTTATCTTCTCACTTATTTCTTTAGGCTTTGTGTTCTGAAAACAATACACGCTGTATGACACAAGTGCAAGCTATGTCATCTGACATTAATAACAACAGCATTACAGATAATCGGACTGAATTCCTCCAGTTCACAAACATCAGTCATAATTTAGACGATCAAATTAATAGTAATAGTAATTCTAGTGGACTAAACCATAAAGCTCGCCGAAATAGTCGAATGCGTCAATTTAGCCCGACGTATTCTGAATACAATGTAGAGAATAAAATTATGCATGAAAAAGATGATGTCAACACTTCTACTAATACAGTTCATAATGTTTTACACAATTTGAATAATAATAGTACAATATCTGGTACAGTCAATCCTATTTTATCCGCTTCATGTAATACATCTAATGCTTCACTGAACCATGACAATAATGATAATAATCTGAGCCTAACTAATCATAATAATGCCATAACTCGATCAAATGATCACTTAATAAGCTATAATCCTCATGTTAACACATTTTCAATTGGTTCAAATTCATTAACTCCATTTACCAATACAGACCTATTTTCACATCGGTGTACTACTACTACCACTACTACTAACAATAATGCTAATAACAATATTAGTGGTGGTAGTAATAATGATAATGACGAAAATGCAGAAAATAATAATCATATTATGTATAAAGGAAAAGTTTCTATTCCATGCAGTGCCGTCACTAGTCACAAATCTTCTACCACTAACAGAGATGCTAGTTATATAACTTTATCCAGTAATACGTGTAATAAAATATCTTTTAACAAAGTCAACCAACAGACCACTTCTCTCTATTATCCATCTAATCATCAAGTTAATGCGAATATGAGAAATGATAAGCTGTACACACTTCAACAGTTAGATACAAAGCAATATATGCCTGGTATATCTGAAGAATTAGTGCATACACCTTTTAATACATCAACGGCATCAACAATATCAAACGCACAAATAAATTCGACCGATTGTCATGTTCTGAGTAACAACAACAATAATCAACATAATTATACAAGAAACAGGAGCAATAAAAGTGGTATGCATGAAATGACTAATTTTGTAAATGAAGATAACAGTTCAACTGGACCATTACTGTCATCGACATCATCATCGTCAATTGTCGACTTTTATATGATACAGTCAGATCATTCATCAAATTTACAACAACAACCAGATAACGAAATTGTACTAGTAGAAAGAAGAAAAATCGTAGAAGAAGAAGGCGAAGAGGAGGAAGAGCAGGGTGAAAATCAGTCACTGAAATCAAGTTTCTCTACTGGGGAGTTAGATTTAAGCGCATCATTTAAACATTTATATCATGCACTTTTTGATAATTCCGGTAAGTCTGAAGTGATTGAAATTTTTTATAAGGCCTTCAGAATATCATTCCATAGTCTGTCAACTAGCATCGTTGACAGCAATGAAAAAGTGTTTGACGAACAGTTAATTAATAGAGATGGCCTTGAGTTGGTACACTATTGTTAATGCAATGGGTGAATGAAAGTGAAGTGAAAACTCCAGTGGCTGCTGGATTCGAAATACAGATCTCAGAACTACTAGTCCATTGGTTTATCAGTTTAATTATAAGAAACAAAAGGACATGACAATATCTAATCATATTTTAGTAGGTCGAGTAATCCAGAGTATGCAGAAGTTGAGATCTATAGCGTTTTCTTCGTACACATAATATGGGATTGTGCGATTTAATAACCATTTGAGAACATGTTCTTTCCAACAGCATTGAGACATTTTCTTAGTTCAGCCTTGCGACTGCAGATGAAGCTGTAGATACACTGACCACTGGGCACAACAAAGGGAAATGCTCGAGAGGTTAAGAGAATGACTGAAGATTAACATTATCTCTTTTTATTATAATTTACGATTCAAAAGTTTTTTTAATGACAGTGTATCCATGCATCTGTAGATTGCCTTTTAAGCAAGTAAGATTCAATTCTATAGAATTTCGCCTACTTGTAATGCTAAGTGTATAACATGCATTGTGTTCCACCTTTTATATACTTGTTTACTTCGTAAGCATTGCTTAATCTTCTTCTTTCTAACCAAAAATATAAATTTCCCATTTAGAATTGTCACATCCAATTTTGGATCTTCAGAATACAACGGCTGCTTCAGAGAATCCAAATCAATCCTCTTTATCATCGAATAAGTTAACTGAAACCTCATTCAAGGATGTAACCACTGATTCACTTGGCATAGCTAATAAAGAGAATGTTATGACCTCTAGTTTAAATACTACTGCTAGTAGTAATAGTGGTAATAGTAGTGTGCTAAATTCAACTCATCATATGTGGGATTTATCAACAGATCAGAACTTTTTGTCTCCCTATGCATCACCTTCAACCGCTTCATCATTTCGATCAAGTTATTCTCATGGCAATAATCCTGATCAACTGAGTAAATCGTCGAATATAATAAAGACGAATCAGTTATTAAATATTAATAACACTGATGCAAATAATAATTCAGTCAATTTAAACTATGTACTACAGAAAACGTTACAAGCTGCTACGAATTTTGATTGGACCAGTGTCAATCTTGAGGAGTATCCAGGTTAGTATTATTGTAGTTTCTTCTTCCCTACTCATACGTACCTCTGTGTGTGTGTGTGTGTGTGTGTGTGTAATGACAATTTTATCTGGTAAGACACATAGTGATGACGTATCGAGCAAAATGAAATTGTACAGAAATCGCTCAGTTGGTTGGAACCCAGCCATTCGGAACAGGTTTACCATATAGCAAACCATAAGCCACACGCATTGGGCTAGAGTAGATGATCTTATCAAGTAGCTCACTCTGAATTGGATGGAGTGAGGTCTGAAAGTGAGTCTCTTGACCGAAAATCGAATGCTTAGAGAAGTGAAAAACAACCCCACAGATTTACGGGGGGAAGGGATGAGAAGAATTCAATGGAGACTTTTAGACACGTGGTTTGTTACTGATACATACTAAGCAATCCATATGGTTTTCATAAGGATGATGCAAGTATCTTGTTACTATTTCAAGTGAGTTATTGCCTAAGAAGAGTATGGTATCTTAAACTTACAGTTGCATTTGCATGACAGTACGTTATAATTTCAAGTCATAGCTGTCCAAACCCTGTTGGTGCTTGACATTATGATGATTGTTGTCTACCGAGTACTGATTCCGGGTCTCACTGATCTTTGTATATCGGCGTAGTTTCATTTAACTCACTTTCCAGAGTACATTGTTTGGACGTTTTGATAAATTAATCCCCTATCATTATTATAGAAGATTTTGTATTTCCGAATGACTTGAAAACAAAACGATTTTGTTTTCACTGATGTTTCGCTATTTAGTGCTAACAGCTTTATCAAAGTATTATTAAACCAGAATTTACAAAATCTTGGCTTATTTATAACTACTTAGTCATCGTTCATCAGCATGGGGTAAATTTTACGTAGTCAAGTTGGCCAGTTGGTTCAATAATACTTTGATACAGCTATTAGCATTAAACAGCAAAACGGCAGTAAAAACAATATCGTCTTGTTTTTCATTTATTGGGAAATACAAAATCTTGTATTATAATGAATATCATAGGCTCAATGCCAGAATTCTTTGAAACTGTTAAAAGTGAACCTGGTTTCGACATGTATAATTCCCTATCAACTTAAAACACGAATTTATCGTAGTTCGTAAGTCAACGTGTAGTACGGTGCATCTGTGTCATTTCCCAGTTGAAAGCTGAGATTGTATATTTTGTCAAGTTATAATAATTCTTTCAGATTCTGTCATATCAGAAAGACTGGTTGGTTAACGATGAGACCTAAAAGATCTATTGTTGCAATGTCAGTGGCCTTCATTACGGTAAGGCTGAGAATACAACACTACACTGACAGTTGAATAAATGCCTCACAGTATTAAGGTGTTTGCCTTATGCGACCATCATTCCAGGTGTACTGTACTCCTACTCAAGAAAGAAGCTGTTGGAAAGCTTCTTCTTTCCTCATGACTCTTGATCGCCTGCTACAAAAGTTTTTACAAAAATAGATATACTTCTCTAGTACTTAACAACCTTAAAGAGATCAAGTGGCTTTTAGCTTTTCAGCTAAGCAAAAACTAATAGTCTTTCCCATCCAACTTCTAGAACGTGTGCAACCGTAAGAAATACTAATTGTCTGCACAACTCTCTCCTCTCAAAATGATCACTGTTTTTATGCACAGAACTGACTATCATATTTTCTCCTATACCTCTCTCACACAATCGCATATTTTAATATTTTTAGAACTGGTTATGATACTAGCAGTTTAACAATGACAGTAAAAATTCTTTTTATTTCATCATATATATGTCTAACATAAGTTGGTAACTGCACTAGTAAATACATTAAGGTAGAGGCATAATTAATGTATTTAATAAAAAAGATATTAATAAACAAAGCTACTCCCTTTTTTAATTTACTGAGTTCTTACAGTTAGAAAGATAATATGGCTTAGTGAGTTAAGCACTCCACTTTTAATCAATAGATCGAAAGTTCAGGCTGCATCGTGCACTCAGCAATTTCTCTCCTCCTGTCAGTCACTCTTCCTCTCTCTCTCTCACACACACACACGCTGAAGTGAACTTGGTACAAAAGTAAATTAGTTCAAGTTGCTGCACTTTAGAAGAGTACACATTGGGACAGAGAAAAGATATGAAAATAAAAGTATAAAAGACAGAAGTGTGTGTACGAGAAAGAATGATTACTTGGTAAACAATGAGGATTTTCATAATCTGAAAGATTACAAAGAAGAATAGAACGATTGAACCATCCTACCCGCTGGTTCTTAGCGTCTAAGGGACCACAGTCAAGCAGTCTACATCTCCCTGTGCAACTCACACGAAGAGTGAAAGACTTCGTGGATTACTGTTACGTTTTCCTGTGACCACCCATAGCTCTTTTCCTTTATCAGCGAATAGTACTCGTGAAGAAAGGAGATTACTGGGTATGCGCAGCGTGTTCCAGACATCTTACATAAAGTCCCTTATAACCTAGTACACAAAATAAGTCTAGGAAGTAGTACATTTGTACATACACATATACATATACATCTTTTTCTCCCATTGATTTTCTCTGCTTCTTTCTCCCCCCCCCCCATATCATTTCATTATGTATAAATAATTGATATTTTGTAAATTAACTGAAGTTACTATTACATAATCGAGATTGTTTCAAGTAATCTGCCATGTAACATTGTCTAGACAACGCTGATGATGTCACTGGTGTTCATCCTTGTGTATTGATTGTTAGGATGTTTCTCTTCCCCTTCCCCGTCTCCCTGTTCTTCCTCTTCTTCTTCTTCTTCTGATGACGACTATGGTGATGGTGTTAGTATTTTGAGTAGCGGTGCTGGTATTACTTCTTGGATATAGTACTCAGTAATAAAATGACATGCGATGTTATACCATGGTTGAAATAACACGAAGAGAAAATGACAGTATATTCATAAAGAATTCATATATATATATATATATATATATATATATATATATATGAATTCAGCCTTCAGATGTACGTAGGCGTAGCTTTGTTTATCCATGCATAGTTGAAATCTACTGCCACACCCGAATATGTATAAATTATTAGTCTTCTCATAGAATTGACTATTTGCATGTCTGGTATAATGATAACTGAATATTTGTCTTTTTATTTATTTATTTATTTTGAAAAAATATACTGTTTTCATATGGGAAGATTCATTTTATTGTTTATGCGGTTGTGAAGCTATATCGATTGAGATGGCTAGGAAGCGTGTTATGCATGTCGACCCACCGCCTTCCTCTATGTACATTGTTAGCTAACATAGGATTGGGTTGGTGAAGGGTTAGATGAGATCAAATGAAAACCTGGCCTTTGGTGTGAGTAACATAGGGAGATCCAGACTTCCTGGTTGGAGTTCTCGGGATGCTAGGAGTCAACAGTTGAACTACTGCACTTCTACTCGAAGTTCTACGATGAAAATTCATTCCCTTTTTGTGTGGCACCTTCATAGTGTCCACTTGGTTATCATTACTGACTAAACTTTCTCTAATTTCGTTAACGTTCAACTCTTAGAGGAAATTATTCTCTTAATCATGGGTGAAGTTTGTTTTATTTATATCCACCGTCGTCATGAACTAACATTATCTGGCGAACTGTAAGAAACTGAAGGACACTGAAGAGTTATTCCACATTAATTTGAAACTTTTCAACAGTAAAGACCCACTACCCCTCAAAGAATCAAACTCAAGACTCTTTAGTAATAAGGCTAACATATTAATATTTACTCGGAATTCAGTAGTCATCGATTTTCAACTTTTCTTGACTTTCAGAGTAATTCTACAACCATTTTCACACTTTATGGTTGATTAGATCTTCTCACATCTGACTTGACTGACTCCACCACCGGTCACAACATCCATCAGAATTCTGAGAAATTAATTTTAAATCTAGTCGGTAGTGAGTGACAAATTAATATTCAAATGCGACACAGCGCCAAAATCTTGCAACTCGACAAGTTTTAACTCCATCTTTGTAGGGTCATGGATGCATATTGCTGAAGAGACTTGAACCATCTTAGTTTCAAATCGATCTCTGGTTTAAATAATTATTAGATTAAAAGTTAATAGCGTGTATGTGTGACGACTAGCGAAATACTTATTATTGTCTCCGAAAAACTTTCGTATTTTCTTGGTGTAAATTACACCGAAGTTAAGAATAAGAATAAAATATCCTTTAGGGTTGTTGTCCTAAGCGGCCCTGTTTTTCGTCTGTTTTCACTTGAAAAGCCTCCCCGAGCTTTCCGTTGTGAATCACTAAGCACGTGGCATTATCTCATAGCAGCTGATTGAAGTTGATAAAGTTTTAGAGCATTTCGTAGTGTTGAAGCAGCTCCCAAATTACTGGACAGCCGACGTTACTGAAAGCCTTTTCAAAATCAACGAAGTTATGGTAGCGAGTTAACTGCCATTCTATGCTGTGTTAGATTATGATGTGTAGCATTGCAATTTGGCTACCATATGATTTACTTTTCCTCTACCCAGCTTGTTGCGTGCGGAGTTTAGGATATGGAGCCTCTTTTACTCTCTCCAGGATGATTCAGCTTAATACTTTTCTTGTAGTGGATAAGAGTATGATTCTACACTAGTTCTCCCTTCTTTAGGGTTTTGACGCAGTAACCCTTCTTCCAGTCGGCTAGTATCTTTCCTTCCTTCCAAATCTTTTGCATTGATGGTGTGAGCAGATCCTTTGAGGCTCCTGGGTGCCCCTAGTACTACCTAGGTAATAAAGAGAAAGTATTGCACTTACGGCTGTTCAAGGATTTATGTAAGTAGAAGAAGTATTGGAAGATAACTGAAATACGCAGTCACTCCATAGTTTAACCTTCACGTCTTGGTTCAACCCTTAGATATCCGTGACACTCTTCTTCATCTCCATCAGTGGAGAAAAAAAAGCTGATTAAGAGGATGAACTATTCGAAGCTTCAATGCTTTCCCAACAGACCTCTTGATTAGATTCCTGTACACAAATGGCCGCAGATGGATGACAATGAAGAAAATTTGTTTACACGCCATCTTTATTTATCATGCTTATCTTATTTTTATGTGTATTTTGTCCCCCTGATCACTTAATTTCATTTATGAAATATCGTCTCGTGCTAGTTATTATCTTAATTTTCCCATGTTAAATGTAATAACTCACGGTGATATTCAGTTATGCAATGTTATATATTTTCGGAACTAATTTAAATTTCCCGTGGATAGAAACGCTTCGTCTCTGCGTTCGACTCGTAGCAGAGATATAGTTACATCCATCTGACGACTACCAAATAGGATAAAACCTGCATCCTGGATTCCACTGCTAGCCAAACTACCTTTAGAGAGAAATGAATATTTATTGAATACCCTTAATTCAATTCATCCTTTTGATGTTACCTCGGTGATTTATGTGATCTGTATTCTTATTGCTTCAGTAGGAATTTATTGGCAAATGTGCAGTCAAACACCACGAGAATAACTAAATGTTGGATTGTTCATCATCTGAGATAATCGATATGCACATTGAAGAAAAGCGGTATTCTGGTTGCTCTATCTGAATTCAAAGGAGGCGAATATGTATTGTCTTTGTGAAGGTTATTTCAACTTTGGAGAAGCACTTTATTGAGACAGAGAATAGACACGAAGCTACCGTTTAGTTTGTATTGTTATATGATTTGAAAAGAGAAGAAATATTCCTTTATTTTAGCCTTTTATGAGAAGGATTTCTTCAAAACTTGCTTTTATCCTACCGCCTTTCAAATAATAATTGTAACTATGAATGGCATACAAGTATTTTTCATAGTCTTATTACAAACCTTTACCAGTTTTATGTGTTTTTATTTTTCTTCCATCAAGAATTAATATCTAAAATACGCAGTGTCAGTCAAAATCCCAACAGTCTGACGGTTGAACAATTAATGGAATTGAATTTAACACTTGACCAGTTGTTCAGTCAAATTCAACAGAATGCATCACTTGGCGACACGTCAATCACTCCTTCCACCTCTAGTGCTTCTGCTTTTTCTTCTGCCGTCTCATTACCGTCATCATCATCATCATCATCGTCATCTTCTTCTCTACCTGTTATTAATAATTTTTCAACAAGATTTCAAACATACGATGGAAGTTATAGAAAAAGTCAACAGAATCTGGATATCACAGGAATTCAGACACAAACTACTGAATGCATGACTGCTGTCAGTAGTGACACCAGTGTCAGTGGGAATGCTCCGAATGCCAGTCTCCATTACCATCTTAAACAACAATTAAATGATAACAGTGAGTATGCCAACAATGCATCATTACATAATTCGCACAGTGTACAACTTTCCTCAAATTTTCATGAGTTGGATTGTAACAACAATGTTGTCACACAGACTGGATTGTCATCGGTAACTGATAGTGTGAACAATAATGTTACTAACAACAATAATAATAATAATAGTAGTAATAACAATAATAATGATAAAAGCAGAATCAATTCCCTCTTATCTGATCTAAATACTTATGAGCATGTTTCAAATGATTTTTTTAATTCCTACATTCATTGTAAAGATTTAAGAGGTAATGTTATTTTGACAAATAATATTAACAGGGACGCTAGTCGTGATAACGTAGGAAATGTTACTGCAACATCAGCTACAGATGTAAACAACACGTGCAATCCCAACACTATTACTAACAATATGAATATTACTAGTCAGTCATCATTGGACCATCACAATCATCATCATCATCATAATCACCATCAAAACCTTGTCTGGACTTCAGTTAAAGTCGATAATAATATTAATAATAATAATGATGTCAGTGTGCCGAAAACATCTGGTAAGTATTGCTTACTATTTTTTTTCCGCATTAATTTCTCCCTTCGCAGTTTATATGAAATTATGTAGTGATGAAGAAGTATCTGCAGATAGGAAGTAGTAAATCTCAAAAATAAAAATCTTTGCTGCTATTATTTAATAGTTGTTCCATATTCTTTTTTATAATTGCCTGTTGCTGTTCCCTCGTCACCAGGCTAGGCGATTTCATTAGCAGTTCACTAGAAAGCTTTTTCTCCTCTTATCATGGGCTAAAAATCTCTAATGCTATTACAAAATTTTGTTTTTGGGTAAAATTAACTTATTCCATGAATTTAGGGAGGCATTTTGATAGCAAGTTAAATGAAGCATAAAACGAGTTGTTCATTCATTGGTGTAGGTGTCTGACTTTTAACACAGCAAGTTACTGATTCTCATTTCACTCTATCTGCCGGACAGTATCATTAACTTTCACGGAACAACCTAAGGGTTCAACGTAGAATTGTGCATAAATTGCAGTAGTCCGATTTCTGAGATTTCATACAAACACATATATTTCATAGAACAAAATATACAAGGAGACTGCAATAAACAGAACTGAGTCGCAGAAAGATTAATTAAATGAAGAATAAGGCAGTTTTAATGAATCTGGAAAATTACAAGAAGTGAAAACGATTCTGAGTAATGTCAGCAACAGTCTTCAACCACTGATTTTTTAAGCATATTTAGGACTTCATTCATTCAGACAGTCTACGCCTCTAACTTTGATACTATAAATGCGGTTTACATATGGGCACATAGCTGATGACATATATATATATTGTTTTTAAGGTGTGACGTGCACTTTCAGATGAGTTGCATATTCAGAAATAATGATTAGTAAGGTTTATAATTTGATTTCATATGTACTTGAATTACATGACGAAAGTGTGTGTAAGCATAATGAGATTCAGTGTCACTATAAATCCTTTCAAGAATTAATTTTGAAGCCTTGAATGGACTCGTTCAGGTTTCACATGTATTAAGAATTCACTCATTACTACTCAATAACTGCTCAGTAATTCTAGAAGCCATTGTTGGCAGAAATATGATGCTGTACCTAGGGCTGGGATCTTCGAGTCATTAACAATCATTGATAGGAGATTCGTAGTTAGACGGCACAAAATCATTCACAGTTGTGCAGATGTGTTTGCTAATTGTCACCACTGCTGATCCTGAACACGTCCATCAATCTTCATTTGGTTGTTTTCCGCCGCATCCATAAATCTCTACTGTAACATAATTTTATTTCGTTCCCCTTGTTACATTTGCTTCAATGAAGCGTGGTGACTTGAACCGACTCACTTCTATGTTAAGACGCACGTTGATTTATCAATCATTCAGTGAGATGCGCAGTGTAAATTAAATAACCCAAGTGTCGCTTTAAGTAATCGCTGTAAATAAAGTCATTAATGCATTTTATGTGCTTTTTTAAGATTCCCTTTACCTCTATAGTTTTAAATGTTATTATTTGTCATACAAAGTTGTATTCTTAGTTCCTTCTGAGTTAGACTAGCAGTCCTCATCGGTGAGAATCAGTGTACCACTGTGTGTTATGTTAAATAAACTTATCTCTTACGCAGTTATATTCTCGCACAATACGTACATTTTACTCCTACATTAAAACTAAAAGAAATCACTGAACGTATCTTCACACACCTATTGCCTTTTATTAGTGTTGGAATAAGGTAAAAAAAATGGCTGAAGCAGGATATGCTGGTATCATTTTATTTCGTTGATCCTCATCAGATGTAATGACCTACTAAAATGTAAAGAAAATGTACAGAGAAATTTACCATCTAGTTGGGAGGATAACATTATGCCAGTTAACAAGAGACTCCAAGAAATAATAAACAAAATGTACTCAAAATTTATACTTATATATCTTATACACGTAAAGATACTTTGAAATAGAAATTATGTGGGAAAAAAGGAAGGTGTATAAGTCTCCGGATTATTCAGTCAACAGTAATCTGCTGGGCTTATTTGCTTAATTTGTCTTCTGTAATTATCGGAATGAGAATGCCTGGATAAATTAACTTGTTTCTTTTCAACATTTTATTTCAGGGTATAATGATAACTATTCAACTTATGAAGAATCTAATATTCCTTTTTCTACTTCAAGTTACCATGATAATGAACAACGTCACAATCATCACAGTAACCATCATCATCTTCAGCATCTTCACCACGACCCACACCACCACCAAGATCAACATACACTTCCCCAAGCACCACATTCCCAAACACAACAACAACAACAACAGCATTCAGATGAATTCACGACAAAGTCGACAAGAAATATCACTTTCTTACATGATCAAACATCTGATTCACCAAGCATTAACAATAATCCTGTTTCCTTTTATTTTACTCCTCTTCAATCAGACAATTTTATAAATTCTTCACTACATGGAAATACGAATGATTCTGTGTATGCAGAATTACAAAGTAACACTAGTACTCCTATTACTACTACTGCTGCTACAAGTGATAATACAAAAGCTCCACAGAATTTTATCAATCTAGTCACGGTTCTACCACAATCTTCTACAATGTCATCAGAAGTACAAAATGAGTCCTTGGCGTCATCATCGCCATTATTGTCTAATCGATTTTTCCACGCACATGATCAATTCACTCAACACAATCCTCGATATCATATGTTACTTAGTGCCAGGAATCATAATGATCATTCAAAATCGTTTAAAATGCATATCAATGGTGCTGATGACGTTAACCACTCCCCTTTAAACAATCACAGTCATTTACAACAGAATGAAAATTTTGAACATAATAATTGTAATAGTAATAACAATGGTAATAATGTTACTAGTACTTCATTTGATCAGTTTCAAATTTGTAGCAATGACTCCTTTTTGTATCACTCAAACAAAAATAATTTATTGAATATTGGACAGAAAACCACTTCGAATGAAGAAATACACCACTTTATGCCAAATGCTACACAACACTGTACAACAGATTATAGATTTCCTTTTATACAGAATTTTATGACTACTAGTGGTAATTTATCTACTTGTCTTATTACGAATACGACTACTATGAATACTAATCATACTATGGCTACTTCTACTAATTCTACTGAGATTACACATTTATCATCCTCTTCTAACTCGCCGCCTCAGTTGTCCACTGAATATCCAGGATCGTCTTCATCGTCATCCTCATCCACATCGTTACTTATACATAACCGGAACAGATTGTTCAGTGATATGAGATATTCAGGCCTATGCCAACAGTCTTCTATAATGCCAGTCAGTCAACAAGTGGAACAGTGTAACCCAGTCAACATGATCAATTCTTTTAGCATTCAGAATACCACCACTGGAAATAATTCTAGTAGTGGACCAGAAGATTTTAACTGGGATACGATTGTTTAGATTTTAGATGCTCCTTACTTCCTCTTCAACTGCTCTGCCTAGAGCACAGTTGAATGTATTGTTGATATTTCTATTCCTTGCAATATTCTATTCTTGATGTTGTGTTCACTTGTTTCACTACTCCCCCTTCCCACAGAGGATTGTTTCTTCGGCTGAATATTATTTATAGAACAACTGCCAGTAGTAGTTATATAATATTCTCTTAATATGCACATATCACCGTTGTTCTGCTTTTTTTTAGTAAAATTCCGGGGTGTTTTTTGCATTTACTTATCAAAACCTTTTAATTTTATTTTTTACCTTACTTACATTTGTTTTTATTATTGCCTTTCTGTTCCGTTGCTACCGAGGGCATTTATTATTACTTAATTTGTGTGTCAGCGTAATTTGTGAGCAATATTTTCTTTCAATGCTTCAATGTTTGTTTTTCATTTTTTCGTTTATTTATTTACTCATTTATTTTAACTTCTGTCTATGAAACAAGAGACAATGACTTTGAAAATTTGTGATTTCAATATTAGACTAAGTGACTATTCCTAGGTGGTGGTGTACACATAAACACACATATCAATATACAGATATCCAGAAATTGCCTTTAATTAATATGTTGATTGAAAAGAGCCCAGAGTGCATATCGGAATTGTGCAGTTTTTTTTGCACTGAATGTCCACTTCTTTTCTCTGCCTTCTTTTCTTTGAGGAAATGTTATCATCCTATCTGATGATTTCTGATCTCATTTTTTTTTGGATTTTCACTTTTTATTTTAATCCATCTTTTTTTATCTGTGAACACTTATTTTACAGTGTAATTTATCGCACACATATCATACATAAACATTACTACTGCTTTTGGTAGTAATAATAATAATAATGTTAACTAACCAAGCTGCCTTGTGTGTATTTACCATCTTTCCTTAATTCTGAAATGAATGCTGTCCAATTAATTCTCTATTGCAGCAGGAATGGTAAATCCACAAGGTCAACTATTTTTAATCTTTTAGAATTAAGCTACTCACAAGTAATCGAAATTGTGTTGATAAATTTTCAGAGGACACTTCGAGTCTTGTTTTGTCAGTATATTATTATAAAATGATCCTGACGAAAATAACCCACTGTGTAAATGTTCTATTCATTTGAGAATATTACTCATTAAAATACATATCTGAATTCTTTCTTTTCTCTTCACCTTCTTATGCTGAGGTTTCGCTTTGTCTTTTTTCTCTTATAATTAATAAATATGGCAATCTCATGTTTTTTTTTTATTTTTTACTAATTTCTACCCCACTGCACATATCAATGAACTGATAAATTTATCCTTTTTTGGGTTTTTTTGTCTCTCTCTTTTTACACTGATTTTGAGCGCTGCAAATGAATTATGGTATCAAGTTTTTTTTCTGTTTTCACTTTTCATAATTTTCGTGTAATATTTTTTCTCTCCCTACACTTGCCCCCGCCCACGTAACGCCCAACCAATCTCCTCATCGTGCACAATTATGAATGGTGTTATTTGTCTTTTCCCTTTACCTTGTTCCACACAGTTTAGATGTCTTTTATATTGGAAAGCATTTCTAGAGATGAACCCGTTTGTTTGTTTTTTATTGTCTTACAATTGGTTGTACACAATTTCAAACTAGACGAAGTTGTTTAAATATGAAGATTATTGTGAAAATTGTTCCCTCCTATTCGTTGTTGCCTTTTATTTTATTTCCTGTTGTTGTTATTGTTGTGGTTATTACTACTGTTAATATTGATAATATTACTATTGTTATTGAAAAGAAATAAAGTAAGATGTGAAACTCCTCCATGTATTCCGTACATTTTCTTTCCTTTTCTCTTACGTGGGATTATATATATATACATGTATCTGCTAGTTCTTTAAGTTGCCACGAGCTCTAAGATCCACTGTAATGCAGGCTGGTATCTAGCTAGTGAGTCGTAAACTGCCTCAAATGGCAACTGTCGCATCGACAGAAAAATATTTATCTTGCATGTCACTAGGTTGTGACCAGTAAAACCAGTTGGAATGGTTACTTCCTGAAATAAACGTTTATTGAGTAATAGTATCCATGATAATGCTAATGGTTCAAATTATAATCGGAGTCTAAAGGTGAAGTCCTATTGCTGAGTGAATAGGATTGCAGTGTCAATAAAATGCTTCCTTCAGAAAACTACAACTGTAGTTATGTTGGTGTTTTTTTCATTGTGAAGAGGGAAAATGTTAATGAAAGCATGCACACTTGATCGTATCCTACAAATGTTCATCGCCGCCAATGACTTTCTAAAATTACAGCTACAAAATGTAGAGTCCTCGAGCTTTGCGGCTGTGAGAAGAGCATCCACTTTCTGTGTCGATTTCTTCAAGATGACTTCTGCAGTGTGGTCAGCTGCGAAGCATTGATCTCTCCTTCTTCTAGCTCACTGCAAAATGCATTTACTTACCACTAACCCTTTTAATGTTTAACCCTTCTTGCTGTCGGCATTCCTTCAACCTCTGTATACTGTACAATCCTGCTAGGAATTCATTTTAGAAAAATGCAGTTCCCTGGCTGACACTGCAGATATTCAAATCATATCATGGGTTTGCTAGCAGATCTCACAAATTAAACCTCCGACGTCTTGAGATATGATTGGATATTTGATATCTCAGATAGGTGACTATTTTTCAAGTGGCTTACCTTACAAATATCAAGAGATTCCATGTCTAGTTCTTGTGAACTTTATGGTAATAAAAAGAAAATTATATTACAGAGAGAAAAACACATTCCTCCTCTAAGTCTAGGTTGTTATTCATCTCCGTTTTTTGATTAAGTGGATCTGTAAAAACAGAGGAAGATAGTGAAGCCTATATTCTTGACAAACACATGTAGAAAGAATGGATGGATAGAGACAATTTTTTCTGAAACACTTCGATGCACGCTAACTTCTGAGTCTGAATAGACATTTGAACCTAAGAGCTGTCTGTATCCATCCTTATTCGTCTGCTATGTCTGAAATTAATTCAACATTTATGTGAAAGTGATGATGATTTTTATTTGATTGTAACCATGTAAAGTATAAATCCTCCCCTCAGTGAACTATTCAAATCCAGTGGATCCTTTCAACTCCTACCAGCCGAAAACTGGCTACGGTTAGCCGTGTTATCACGGCGATAATCAAAATTGATTCAACCGTAAAGGCCTTTGAAAGAATATCAAGCTGTTAAAGGTGACGAAAGCTAAAGAAATATTGAGGATGTCAACATTGTTATTTCAGCCTAGTAGAGACACCTGTTGATAAAAGATAGTACCCAGTGAAAGAACAGATAAAGATAGACTTCCTAGAAATTCTTAGAAAAGGTGACCTCCAAGAGTGATAAAGTCATTACCGAAAAAATTAACTATAAGAAGAACTAATGTATAATCAAGGACCAAAAGTAGCTTCACCACTTTGGTCTAGATACTGGACTGATGTTGATTGGAAAGTCTAGTTGCTTAGTTATTATGTAGTCGTCCTGATACTCCCGGACAGAAAATTTATTTTAGGTCGAATATCTTGAATATGTTCTGAACGCCTTCAAAAGTAAGTTGAATGATTGGCATCAGTCTTGCATCTTCCAAAACGTAATATGATTATCTAATCCCTTAATTGATTGATGTATATCGAAGGATTTATCAGTTCCAGTGGATTTGTTTGAACCTACTGGGGACCTTTTTGTCACTGCAATATTTTAAACACTTACAGAGAAACAGACTGCAGTGATTTGGTCAGCGCTATCCAACAGCTGGAGTTAGAAGTTGTGTTCTAATTAATAGTATCCTCATAACAATACTTGAATTTCGTGGGACGAATTATTTTGTATTACTCAAATTTTGTACAGAATCCCAACTAGGTGCATTAAACTAACAAGTCCATGAGGTCCCTAACCAAGATTGATTTAACTGTCTGAAAGGTGTTATACACAGTAATAAGGAGTAATGTGTAGTGCTGAATCAGGTTGAAAAAAACTAAAGATTTAACAATAATTCAAGAAACCCGAATAGCTATTTGAAAAAATACCAGTAAATAAATAGCAGATTATGTCAGTGATCAACCTCCTTGTTCATTGAATGCATACGAGACGCATGCAGTAGGAATAATTCAACATCAAGAATGCAGATATCGAAAATATCATTACCGGTAAAATCAGATGGATAAGAAATATTGAAATCATGTTTTTTTTTCAAAAAAATCTAATGTTATATAAACATCTTGGTATGAGTATTGGCAATAAATTGTGCTTGAAAAGTCATCAGTAAATATAATGACCCAAACGCAAGTATTTCGGTCTGAATAGCTTGCCTAACTTTCACAAGCTAAGCACAGTCAGAATTTATACTCCGGCTTGTCGTGATAGAATTTGTGGCACTAATGAACGATAATAACTCATATCAAAAATACAAAACTACCTTAACAATGCAGTCTGGCAGCTTTACAGTGCCAACTTTTCAGGCGTAAGGTCAGAATTGTACAACAAAGTTAATATACAACTGTAAAATACCTGTGGATCAATAAGAATATCCCCAATAAGATGGAATCAAGACTCTTTAGACAGTCTTCTCACAGACAGTCCTAGGTCAAGCAGTCACTCAACGGTGTAATCTTCAACTTTTAGTAATAATAGATTTATTTTGGAGAATAAATTTATATAAAAATTAGAACTTTTAGCGTATTTTATTGAAAGGTATTTACTCCTTATGCAGAGTCTTCAAGTAATACAGTATCGTTCCACCCGAAGCATGTTTTAATACTCCGCAATCATCTTCCTCTATATATCCTTCGAAAAAGTCAAGGCGGTAGGTACAAAACGAATCAATATACAGTGCGATTCACAGACCAAATTGAATGATTAAAAAAAGTATGAAATAGGGTAAATACAATGCGTTCAAATGGATAAGAAATCCAGGTAACCCAGTGATTCACATAAAATTGCAATCGTAAGACAACACATCATTATCAAGAATCCGCCATCGCATGACAGTGAATTGAAGCATTGAAAAAGGAATAAAGCAAAAACAAAGATAAATAATAAAGAAGTCGAAGGAAGGTATGCAAATGTTAGAATAATGATATGCAGGTCAGGGAAAGGAAATTATAAAGTTAGTTGGGATATTCAAAAAAGTATCAATACTGATTGTAAATAAATTGTTCACAGAGGAATTTTGAGGTCAGTTATTCTGTTACAGTAAATAAGCAATACTGTATCATTGTGTTTTATATCAAATAAACTCTTATATTACACAAGTATACTCTTCCACAATGCACGGATTCAATCCGTCTTTCTTAATCTCCACATACGGACCCATTTGAATGTGTTCATTGACTTTCCTGATGTAATCTGATTTGTTCCTATTATTATTACTGTACGTTCGCAAATTGGCCTTAAAATCATTTCCAAAAACGTGTGGAGTCAAGCCATAATCAAATAAATTAGTATTTTCACTACTATTATTGGTTTTGCCATAGATTTCGAGTGGGACACTGGGCTTCATTTCATCTTTTTTTCTGCAGTCACCTTTAGCTGGTTCCACAGTTGTCCATAGGCCGTCATCTCCTCTTCACATGTTTTCCTTTAAGTCACCCTGGGACACCCGACTCGTCGTTTCTCACTCGGGTTTCACTCGAGGACCTGGTGCGCGACGTCACTCAGAGGTCTTCTCAGTGTGCCTTCAGCCCATCTTCATTTCCGTCAGCATATTTGTTGATCGATAGGTTTTTGACTGGTTCATTCCCAGAGTTTCTTGTTGCTAATTTTATCTGAGAAGCCACCTGATCTTCAGTATGGAGTAAAGGTAACTATTGATAAAAGGCTGCCGTAGCCTGTTGAAAAATGGTTTTCGTGACGCGCTAAGGCTTAGAACCATACACAAGAACTGTCTCAACGCTGCTGCTGAAATGCGAATTTCGCTCTTTCTGCTAAATATATCAGACTTCCAAACTGATTTCTTGCTTTTCGATTCTACTTTTGACATATTCATCTGCGCCGCCTGTGGTTGAAACGATGCTTCCTAGATGAGTGAAGGAAGTGACCTTGTTTAAATTTATCCCGTTCATTAATATATGTGTAAAACTTGGGCACTGTGGTAGTAAGTATTTCCATATTAAATTGTTTATTAGATATATCACACAGTGAAACAGTATTATTTACTGGATGACGTTTCGAACAAAATTTATTGTTCATAATCATATCAACTATAATCACACAATTTCGAAACGTGAGTTTTATAGTCTTCTTCGTTCTCTCCTATTTGCCGCAAGGGTAGTAGAATTTTCCGACATCTGGGAGAGGTGTTGAATCATTCCTATTACACATGTTTGCAGTCGATTCGATAAACAAAGCTTCTGTTATCAATCTCTCCCGCCCCATCCTGTTACATTAGGCTTTAAGACTGTCCTCTTATCCGATCCTATGGTATGGTTGTGTGTGGTTGCATGTAGTGCTATAGCTGAGCTATTCTCCAGATTTGTTATCTTGTTCAGGTCAACTAATCTAGATTTTACTAGGTTTTTATGCTCGGCTAGTCTGACTACCCCTGTTCTACTAGCTTGACCTATGTATTTGACCTGACAATCATTCCAGCAGGGTATTAGATAAACTAAATTGTTTTGTTTTGAAGGCTCTACAGGATCCTTTAACCGACAAAGCTTGTTTCTAATTGAGCTTGTGGGTTTGAATGCCGTTTTTATTCCTGCCTTGTTAAGAACTCTGCGTAAGGTTTCCGAGATTCCTTCCTTGTATGGAATTACTACTGATGATTTAGATTCCTTATTGTTGGTGTTGTCTTGCTCATG